TTCTCTTTCTCTCTCTCTTTCTCTCTCTCTCCCTCCCTCCCTCCTCTCTCTGCCCCCTCTCTCTCTCTTTCTCTTTCTCTCTCTCTCTTTCTCTCCTCTCTCTCCTCTCTCATTCTGTCTCTTCTTCCATCCCCCCCCCCATCTTTCTTCCATAGTCAGTATCAGATCATTTTGTAAAAGTAAAAGACTTTGATGACTTGAGCATGCAACATTTGACGAAAGAATGTCCTTATTTTGACAAGACCTTACTGTCCCTATTTAATAAAACTTCGCTTTCTGTCACTTACTGGTGTGATCAAAGAACTCGTTGAATACCATACAGACAACAAATTTAAAAATCAAATTGTTTGACTTGACTAACTGGAACCAGGTTCTGGGTTGTTAAGATCATCAGTTTGAATGGACATGTGTCTATAGTGATTTCTAAAAGTGTTGTCAGGAAGATTTTGTCAAAGATAACAGGTTTAACTTATAATGATAATGATAATAAATGTAATTTCATTCATATACCATATACACGCATCCATACTGTGTGCGCTGTACAACTCTAATTTCATATTTACATAGTTTACCAACTACTTGCTACCAGTACTAGGTGTCTGAACTGATGAAAATCATATCTTTTGGAGATTCTTTCGAAAATACCCACGCATGGGTCTGAGAACCTAACTTTCAGGATATGACAGGTTTCACCACTGTGGCAGAAACGGCAACAGTAACTTTGGGCTCCCGTTTCAAAGTGCTTGACCCGGTGCTGAACATGTGGGATCGCATTGCAGTGTGGGCTGCAATTATGTTTACTAGGAACGGTAGAAATTGCTCACTGTGATCGTGGTAACGTAAGAAGACAAGGATGGTTAAGCCATATTACAAAATTAGAGTATAGTACATAAGTTGATACCATACTTGGAATCTTATGTATAATAAACATTCATTAGTAGCTTATCACTTTCCTTGTGTTGAGAGAGGCAGAAAAACGTTCCCACCGTCTTTCTCTCTTTGATTTGTTTCTTTTGAATCTTACTTCAAATCATCTTTTATATCATTAAGCTCATTTCCCTCTGCAGCATAGGCTAATTACCCCCAAAATGTTGGCTCTCACGTCTAAGTTCTTGAACCAAGCAATTTGGCTGAACAATCAGGGTTCACGACATAAATTATTTCCGTGGTTCCCCTAAGAAATAAGGAATTGGGTGTTACTGCCATTGAGGTACGTACATGTAGTGTAGGGTACATGTTTATTAGCGCTTTGAAATTGAACTGCTTTGTGATAGTGGTTATGAGCTGGAGAGGCAGGTTCAGGAAAGCACTAGACATACTCCGTTGCTTTTGAAACTCTCGGCAGTATTAGTATTGGACTTCGTCATTTCCTCACTACTGCCAGTTTGTTTGTGTGCTTCGCTCTGCGTGTTTTTGTCTGAGATTGTGTTGATGTCCGAGGGTCCTGGTCTTGGACTCACCTGGCACAGGTAAACCCTTTTGTTTGTTAATGTTATGTCCAGGTGAGCGATGAGCTTCTGGTCGCCGCCACAGAGCTGGAACCAGAAATAGACTGGGCTTTGAGAAATAATGGTGTATTCTCTATTCCTTGTCTCTTGACCAGAGAAGCGCAGAGTGGGTGGTTGGCGGGTGCTCTGGTGTGGTTTGCTTCTTCTTTCTTATCAAACATCTATCGTCCTTATCTCCCCTTCTTCTCATTTATGTTTGTTACTCTCTTGTAACACATCTAATCTTCTGGCGCTTATATGACCTTATGCAGTTGCAAGCGCCGCAAAACCTCTCCTAAAACTAAAGAGAAGCGTGGATGGTCGGAGGGCGCAACTGGTAGGTCCTACTCCTACTTTTTTTTTACTTTTCTTCTGTTGTTCTATCTGTCTGTCCTATTTTTCCCAGCACTAAATGACCATAGCTGTGTCAATGTGCTTCTCTTTACTCAAACAAATAAAGAAAAGAGAAACAAACTCTCCAGTTTTCCGAAATGAACGTTTGATTCTTTGCGCCTTGTTTGACGTGTAAGTGGATGAAGGGTGATTCTTTTCCTTACTTGTCTCCCCCCCCCTCTCTCTCTTGCCCTTTTGAACTCCCAGTGGAGCATAAAGGCTATCAACATCATTTTTCCATTGAAACCTGTCCTGCGCATCATTTTCTAGCTGTTTAAATGATGTCCCCGTCTTTTCCATTTCCGCTTGTTCCGCTCGCCTCCATGTCATTTTTGGTCTTCCTTTCTTATGTTTTCCTTGTGGATTGTTGGTAGGCCTCCATCTCTCTTGCAACCTGCAGTGCCTTCCCTGCCTCGTTTATTGTACGAACATTCCAGGTGCCAAGTCTGGTGGTTCTTCTGGTCGACAGGAGGTTCCTCGGCTTGGTGGCTTCCTTTCGGCTTTCACCACCCTGCGTCATTCTACACTCCATTTTCTCTCCTCTCTTCAGTGATGAAGGTCCTCCATCTTCCAGAACTGGCGGTCGTGTTGTTTTTGCTGTTGATGTTTTTGTAGCTGTTTATTGTTTTACGGGAAAGGGCTGCTAACCATTTGCCCGACCGACCTTAGTCGCCTTCTACGACCTGCGCAGTACGGATACAGCGGTCCTATTCTTTGTTCCCCTGTCTCTTGGGCAGGGCCCCGGGAACCGCACGGGTGACTTGTTCCTCTGTATGGCGTTTTCTTTTCCGAACCCACATCGGAAAGAGAAATTGGCGGAGTGATACGCGCCACAGCTTTTATTTCTTTCCGGGCTTTTCACTGATACAGCAGTTTCGCACTGACTCGGTGACCTAGAGTGGGTAGGCGGCGGGTGTTCTGGTGGTGTTGTTTGCTCCTACTTTCCTAATCCTATCACTCAATTATTTTCCGTATTGTGTTCCCCCTTTTATGGTATGTTACTCTCCGATCTTTTATGGTTTGTTACTCTCCGATAAAATGTACAAGTATAAACTTCTGCATGTTTAAGATCTATTTGTGTTGCAAGTACCTTAAAACATTTATAAAGTAATACCTATAGGCTTCCAAGATTCGATGGGGAAACATAGTAATTCAAAAATACATTATTTGTATATTCAACAGATTCAAAGCAAAAGCCAAAAGCAGTAAACTCGACAATATCATTACACACTCTATCCTCTTCCTAATTCGGTGTCGGTATCTGTGGAACAACAAGCACCGGCAGACGATCAGGATCTCGCGAGCGACGCGCCGCCTGTCGGCCATGTTCCGCACGACCACAACAGCCAACTCGGCATGTAGCAAAGTCCGCACACATCGTAGGCAAGGGGCTACAACTCCTGCAGGAAGATTGCACGGAGCGGCTGCCCAAACACTTTGTAGATAGGCTATCGCCCTTTGTCCTGTTTCCTCTAGATCTTTTCATTTATGTTCAATTTCAGTCTTGCCCTGAGAGATCATAGGACTGTAAACCCTTTCATTTCTGACAATACAAAAAAATCTGCACCAGTGATACAATAACGGCGAGAATCGTTAATCGCACAAAAAAGAGATAAAACTGAATTGGGAAAAAATGTTCGCTAAATGTATGGGTTTACCGCACCAATCAATAAAGAACGGGTATTAAAAAGGAAGGTCCCCAATTTTGGCGTCTATTTCCGATAGGAATGAGCCAAGTGCGTTTGAAAATCCCACACCTCATATATAAGAACGCCATAATATTGGAGATTGAAGCCATTATTGCCCGCGTCGTACCTCTGCTTGATACAAACTAAGGACTAGAAAAGCAAACTGGGTTTGGTTATACTGTAAAGTGACAAATTTAGTTTGTGATAATAATGTCTTTATAAGAACTTAGCCAAAACAAAAAAAAATCGAAAAAAAAAATTCGAAACTGGTCGGAAAATGCCGATTTCTCGGATTTCATGATTTTGACGAGTGCCTGATTTTACCACGATACCTCACAACTATGGAAAATGTAAGCCAATTTGGGATTCGTGCTTAGTGTTCTTTCATTATAGCACCCATATACCGTATGCTCTTTAAAAAAAACAGAAAAGAGAAAGCCATGTATTTCATCTGGGGTGCACATTAGGTAAAAAAAAAAAAAAAAAAGAACCTGACTATTCTACGTTTATTGCAGACACCAAATCGCTCTAACTTGATCAGAAGGAAAAGGTAAAAATAAAAAAAGCTTTTAACCTAAATTGAGGAAACTAAATCAGGGCTACAAGTAGTGCACACTGTCAAGTGCACGTTAAAGGCATCATGTACCCTTTTCCTTAAGGGCCCCTCCCCTCTCTCCGTATGTTTTCTTTTACTCGCCCGTACCCCACACGACCCAACTCTGGCACAGTACCAGGGAGATATCGTGTCCTGCTTTGGTAAGTGTTTTACTGCGCTAGCAACTGCCTAAAGTCATGGGCGCGCGAGACACATTAACCATTTGCAGTTGGTTGGACATTTTGAATTTTGCCCGGGT